CTCTCACAGTACTTCCCATGATGCGTAATTATGTGTTGATTAAAGTCACTAATATACGGTAATTATATGACTGTCTCCCTGCCTACCTGCCATTAGACTGGTAACGCCTTGAGGTCAGGAACAGACCGAAGTCACCCACTCTACCCGCCCTTAGCACTGCGCTTGTGTACAGAAAGCGCCCAAGGAATATGCTTAATTAGCTAATAAATGACTACACGGACTCATTCAAGCTCCTTAACTGCCGTGAGGTGGGCATTTCATCAGACAGGAGGAAGCTGAGTCGGGGCGGGCGAGTTGGTAGCTCGCGCCAAGTACAGGGCAAGAGGAGGAGCCGGGACCTGACCCAAGGCCGTCCCAAGTTCTGAGCCCGGACCTTTCCGCTCCTGAGCCCTGGCCACATGATGAAACGCCAGGGAGGGGGTGGACTTTGAGCCACGAGAAGGTCTTCCCCGAGTCCACGGACCGTCCACGGCGCCCAGGGAGAAGCAGGCTCACCCACAGGAACACAGCCCAGCCCGCCCCGCGCTCACGGAGTAAAGATCACAATCTGCTGCATATGCATGAGGGGACCGGGCCGCGCTTTGAGGCTGTCCACACTGCGCCTGACAAAAATTATTCGGGTTTGAGGACCTCGGCGCCCCCACAGTTTTGTAAAAGTCCGTACAAAGCCCTCAAAGATGGTCTGTGAGGGATATGGAGGGGGCGATGGGTGGAGGTTAAGGCCCTTGTTCGGGCCGTGTGATCAGGCGTCTGCGGTAGGCAGCCCGATCCCAGGATGGGTCCTCGGCCTGTTAAGTAGAAGACGAAGGGGGCGTCTCCCCAGCTTCCTGCGGCGTCGGTGGCGAGCTGAGGTGGAGGCAGGCTGCGGCAGACGGCGACAGTGGCGGCGACGCCATGGCAGGGCTTGCAGGTACCGTGGCGTCAACCTGCTTGGGGCGGGATGAGAGGCTCTCCATGCGGCCGCGCCGCCATATTGTCCCTTCTGGGTCACCTTAGGCGTCGCCGGGTCCCCGTCACTGGGGTTTTCCTTCCGCATACCGGGGAAGGGAGGGTGCCCCTGTCCGGCTTCAGGAGGTTGCTGTGCTGGCATCTAGCCTGGGCCTTGGGGGTCCCTGTCCAGCCTGGGGGTGGGTCATGGGACTCCTGGGCACTCGCTCCGGCCTCCAAGGTCAGCGCCTTTGCAGGATGAGGCAGGCAGAGCCGGGGACGCAGGGCTGGGGAGCGCGACGACCATCTCTGCGGCCCCGAGTTCCACGGCAGGGTGCCTAGCTTGTGAGAGGCCTGTCACTCAGTCCCTATCAGTGCAGTTGCTTTTTTTTTTTTTTTTTTTTTTTTTTNTTTTTTTTTGGTGGTTGGGGGGCGTGGGGATGAGGGGAGAGAGGGTCTCCCGCTCGGGGCCCCGCTCTAGTGTCTGGGGTGATAGACTGACGCTCTGCTAAGAGTCGCGGGAGCTTCTTACTCCCTCCAACTTTACATCAAGAATGGACACCCGTTCCCTTTCCTTCTATAGACGTGGGGAGTGGCCCTCAAGGGCAGCTGAAGGAGCGGAATGCCTGGCACACGAATGGCCTGGAAAGGAAGCATGGGGGATGGGGGACAGTTGCTTTTTCCTTCCCCTTTCCAAATCTCCTTTAGTTTCCTTCCAGGCCTCCATGTTCCATTTCAGCGCTAACTGCTGTGAGACTGGGGTCTGTCCTCGGAACGAAACAACCTTTCTGTTTATAGGTTTGGATCGTCTTTATCCCTTTCAGGGAACTGGTGTGTTGGGGACGGCTTCTCTGTCCTGCCTGACATGGTCCAGTCATCCCGTCAGCCTTCTGGACGGCAACACCAAAGCTGGGACCAAAAAAAAGTTCCAGCTTACGTGCTAATGTGAAGTGTTACCTCTTGTTTGCTTGTTTGTTTTAAATCAAAGACTAATTAATGTCAAGCAAATCTGTTAAAAGATTTGATCACTGGAAGCCTGGTCGGTTTCCAGTGACCAGGTCAATTCCATATCTGAAATTGCTCTTGTTAGAGTTGCTGCCAAAAGCAGTTTAACCTTTAATCTGTAATAATGTTGTTTCAAAGAGGAATCTGGGTTAGGCTGTCTTTTTTTGTTGTTGTTCTCCTATCTTTGAAACACATGCATTCCATTTCAAGCCTGTCCCTGTATGATACACCAAGGACCATGCATTGCCTGCCTTTCTGACTTCCTGCTCTGGAAATGCTCAGGAATCTGGATCCTGCTGGGGCTGGGCCCTGGGGGAGGGGAGGATAAATGGGATCATTCCCAGGGAAGATGATGACAACCTGTCTCTGGGGCATGTAGAGGAAGTCAGAGGTCACTGGGGGAAAAGAGGTTGTTGTTTGACTGGTGTTTTGTGTATGTGCATGAGTGCACACATTTAAATCTCGGGCGGCAGGGGTGGGGGGGAGTTAACTGCAAATCCAGCATCTCCCTTTGGGGTGTTGGCTCCTGAGGAGATACACATTTCAAAATAGATATCTAGTAAATGGCTCACAGCAAACCTGCTCCCCCATCCAACAGTAATCTGTTGCTGAAGCTCAAGGAATTTGCCCCTACCTTGCCCTGCCCTGACAGCAGACATCCCTTCTTTCAGTCACACTTCAAATATTCCACAGATAAAGGTAACAGTGTCACATAGCACTCTGCACCCCTGAAAGTCATGGTACCTAAATCCGCCCCCTCTGGACTTAACCTCAGCTGATTAGGCTAAGAAACCAGCGTGATGGAGCATTAGTCCCAGGGTCTCTCACCTGTTGCTGGAGTCCGACAGAGCCATTCCCAATCCCCTCCCAACTCATCTGCTCTGTCCTTGGTCTTGTGGGGGCAAAATCTGGGAGCAATGACAATTTAGGAAAAGAGGACATTCAGCACGGTGACTAAGGGCTCTGCAGTATAACACTAGTCATTTTCAATTCTTCCCATTGCTGTCTATCAGAATAAAATGTTTAATGGTATAGTTTGTGGAAAAAAATTTTCTGAACAAGGTGTGTTTGGACCATCTAGGCATTGCATAGCATTGCACTGGATGGAAAGTGAATGCATTGTTTTCTCTGGTGGGTTAACTTTGCTGCCAGAACATGAGGTTTTGTGGGTGGAGGACGAAAATGGGGAGTGGACATTGCACATTGAAGCCCACATGTGCAGGTGGAGGCCACCAGGGCAGCCCTTGTCTGGAGGCCTGTCATCTCACCTTGCTGCACTCACAGCCCTGCTGATGGATGGATCGGTGGAGGAAAAGGGCTTTGCCAGGATTATATGGAAAGCTCTGGGGCTACCAGTAGCCTCTTGTCTTCTAAGTGGGAACACAGGAGGTGCTGTGTCCAGAGCAGCTTTATCATGCTGCTTTGGTCCACCTCCTTGAACTCTGCTACCTTGTCACTTGGGCTGAGGTTAGAGCATCAAGGGCAGTGGGGCTGTGGGCACACCCCTCAAAAGGGTCAGCCTTCATTGAAAACACATGTTGAAGTATGTTCATGATTCTATGGGTTTAGTGTGGAAAACCACAGAAACTCCCAGTTTTGAGGCCTGCCAAGAAACGGGATTCAGAAGGGAGGAGGTGTGCGCATTGCCTGCTGATGAGTCACTCTGGGGCGAGAGGAGACCTGCCATACCTTCAGGCTATGGTAGCAGCTATAGTCACCCAGCTATAGAAGATGAAGTCTCAGATTGCGCATCCTCTCCGAGTCCTGATGAGTCCTGATTGCCACTGTGATGTCAGAGTTTCTAGTATGTTAGGGTTTACTGGCATCTCAGAGGCCCTCTTAGAGGGGGAAACTGAAGATGAGGGGTGTAAGGTAACGTGTCCGGTTTCCCTAGGCTGATTGATGACAAAGCCAAGACCAGAACCAAGATCTGCACCTCCCCACCCCTATAAATCTCCTTTACCAAATAAAGTTTTAGATGCGTTTAGATAGAGGTGCTGGTGATTGGGCTAAGAAACTTAATGGCTCGCTTAGGAGTGGGAAACCTGATCAGGCTCATGGGGGCAAGGTACTTTGTGCTCCAGAAGTATTTGTGACAGCTGTGACTAAGAGATTTGAAGAAGTGGCAGGAAGAGACATTTATGGCCTCAACTCCCTCCCTTAGTGTTGACCCAGGAACAGGTGTTTACTGACAGGGACACGTAAAGCCAGAGACAAGGCTGAACAGGCGGTAGGGCCATTTGGTGAGACAGTCAGCTGACCCCGTGTAGAAAGAGCCCTGACTCACTGGGGAGTGAGAGAGGGAAGGCAAGTCCGAGGCCGAACAGCCAACCCACCACGCACCCCGATGTGATTGCAAAGGAGAGCCCAGGGCCAGGGACCTGGTAAGCATCCCTAAGAATAAGGAGGCTGGTGTTGGGAAAAGCAGGAACCCAGTATTGGGGAGAGAATTTTCTGGTGTGAGGTGGGGCCAGGAGCCCCTGCAGAGTAGCAAGGCCAGGCAGATTTTCTTTGTGGTGGTCCTGGTGGGTATGGGGCCTGCAGCATTAAGCTGGGTGGAGAAGGCGCCACAGCACACTTCTTATCCCATACTCATTGTCTAAGCTTGTGTCCACCCTGCCCAGTACTCCTCTCCATGGGGCTCCTAGATGGAGACCTGGAGTAAGACTTTGTGTTCTGAAATCACCCCCTTGGTCCCCAGCACCTCTGTGGAAGGCTACTCCCACCTTTTCCCCTCCTCTCATCTTTCTCTAAGTGATTACCTGCTTTTGGTCCCTCATCTTAGGACCACAAGTAGAGCATCTATCCCTCTGGGGAGTGGAAGTGTCCCTTATTCCAGGACCACAAGTGAGGATGTCAGCCTTTCTCTTTGGGGAGGGGAGGGCTGGTCCTTTATCACAGGACAGCATTGAGATGGGGTTGGGTGTTTGAGGGGCCCAGCTTATTGCAATTTAAATGGCCCTTCTTTTCCTCCCTCCCCCAAGTAGTGTGCCTCTTCCACAGTGGGCACATCAGCTGAGTCTTAGAAGTATGTGTTGATGCCGCTAAAGAAATCACAAGAGACAAAGTTTTGGTGCGCCTCCACTGCCCCGCAGGGTCCTGGGACACTGTGCGAGACAGGGGAGGTACGTTTTTTTATTTTTTGTAGAGGTGGTCCCTGTCCTCCAGGAGCTTACAATCTAGCTGGGGAGACACAACTAATGCACACTTAAACAATCAGTACAATTAGCGATTACCACAATATTTACCACAACTGCGTGAGACCAGGGAAAAGCAAGATCAGTGAGGGGCGGCGGGGTTCAGAGAAGGTGTTTTAGTAAAGATGGGATTCATTTACTTTTGCTTCTTGGATAGTTCTAAATCAAGTGACACATTACTTTGGAGTAGGGTGGGCTTGGGAGACAGAGGGAAAGGGGAATAGAGGGAGCAAATGCAGCAAGGCTGGAATGCAGGTGCCCTAGGCAAGGGACAGTGAGAGGGCCCCACTGTATTTCTTAACCCCCTCCTTCCTCAACTGTGCCCTCCAGTCCCGCCACACAGGCACGTGGTTGGTGCTGCACCAAGATTCAGGGCTTCGGCTGGCGATGTCACAATGTCCATTCTGCTGGCTGGTGTGGTGTTTGGATATCCATGGTGGGGCCTGCTGGCATGGCCCTGGCTTCGGGGCTGGGATGGTGCTGTCCCGACTTTGTCCAGATCAGAATGCAGTGCCTATGCCCAGATCTCAGGGGTCTGCTCCCCCCATCCCCCCGACCCTGCCCCTTGGTGTGACCGGGCAAAGGGGTTGGGAAGGGATCTGGTATCTTCGTCATTGTCAGTACTGCTTCTCTGGGGGCCTACTGGCCCCTCACTGACCTTGCCAAGTGCTCCTCTGGCGAGGGAGCACAGGGGACCCCCCATTCCTGCGCGGCACTGGCTCCCGTGCTGGTGGAGATGCACAGGAGCACCTGATGATACGGCCGCCCAGGGCTGGGAGCTGGGGCCTCAGTTGGGGGCCCGCTGCCTGCGCTCCCCCAACACCTGCCGCCCGGTCCGCGACACGGTGTACGCCAGCTTCTGCAGGGAGTACCTGAACACCTGTGGCAAGAAACCCAGGACCCACCCTTAGTGGAGAGCACCCGCAGCATGTCTGCGGTGCTGCCGTTCCCACCCCCGCCCCACCCCCTGCCCCGCCCACCCGTCCAGCGTAGGCTGGAGAGGCGGGCGCGGGCGCAGCTTGTCCACGAGTCAGGGCAGCTGGAGCTTTTCCAACTGTGCTGAGAGCTGCATGGCGGCAAGCTGATTGGACCCACAACTTAGGTATACCTCACTTCTTGCAATGGGCTGTGTCCCTGGAGGATTTCGAAAAGCGAATCCTACCCAGTAAATGCAGCATTCCAGGAACACCTTGAAGGAAATACGCGATGCCTTTGGCAAAGGATTCCTTTAGCAGGGAATTCTTCCTGCAAAGGGAGCTTTTAGGTAAATGATTTTACGGGCAAAGCACATTCTTCTGATTTATTTCTTTTTACACAAAGCGCTTTCGCCTCTTTTTGATTTTCTTTTTTTCATAAAGCAATTGTCCATTTTTGGATGCGCTTTTTTCCCCTTCTGTTTTTCTCTCGAGGGGCTTTTTCTTCTAATTTTTTTCTTGAAAGCATTTTTGCTCGATTCACTTTTTTCCGTTAGCTCCCTTGTCTAATTTTTTTCTGCAGTGCGTTTTTAATCTAATGCATTTTTTTCTGCCAAGTGCTTTTCTCCGATTTATTTTTCCTGCAATGCGCGTTTTTTTCTTTTCCTATGAATTACTTTTTCTCTAATTGTTGTGGGGTTTTGTGAAGTTATTTTTATTTTTTCTGAGAAGTGCCTTTTTCTAACTTATTTTTTGTTCCACCCCCACAAGCGCTATATGTTTTTTAAAAATAAAATTTCCCCGCAATGCGCAATTTTTTAAGGTGGAAAATTTTCACTCTGCGAGCTGTAAAGTCCTGCAACACAGTAGTGCCCCGCCTCCCTCCTGGGGTCCAGTCCGGTTGTAGCGGGTTTTTCTTACCGCGTAGGTCGCTAAAAAGCCTGGGTGATCATCCGCAGCGGTCGCCCGCCGCGCCCCAAGTCTTTGTTCCCGGGCAGGCGCGGGCGCACTAGGGAGGGTCAGTGCGAGGAGGACAGCGCGGGGAATGGGCAGGGGGCGTGCAGTGCCGGTGGCGGCACTTGGACAGGCAGGGATCGCGGCAATCGGAATAGGACGGGTCCGGGAGGTGGCAATCGCGACGCGGGTTGCAGGTTCTGGGGACGCGAGTTGGGAGCCCTCTCCCACCTGAAACCCCAGCACACTTACCTGCAGCAGCACGCGGAAAATGTACCAGCCGATGATGAGCAGTTCAGCCGAGGCTGCCGCCACTGCCGCCATGGTTCCAAGCGCGGTAGGTTGGTGGTCGAGAGAGAGGTTTTGCCGAGATCCGCTGGTCTCTCAGAGTTCGCTGTTGGGCGCACTGCCGCAGCCGCTGTGGCCGCGCCTTAAGTACCCGCCCGCCACCTAAGTGCGCATGCGCGCCTTGGTGGGGGGGTGTTTATGAGGAGGGGTGGCGGGGGGCGCTCCTCATTCGTCAGGAGAGGGAAAAAATAATCCATCTGCTCTTTCCATACCGACCCCCGCCTCCTGAGTTCCATCTTAGCCCCCTTCCAGAATATTCCGCCGTGCTTGTTTTTGGATTTTGCTTTAAAATGGAGGGGTACCACAACTCTGGGTAGAGTAGCGGGCGAGGATGGGGGTGCAAGTCTCTTGGTGTGGCGCCCTTCTCTCCAACCCCTGGCCTGCAAATTTGAGCTCAGTCTCCGGTGCCACTCCACAGCCTACCTTGGGGATGGATGGAAAACTGAAATTAGGGAGGGGTCATCTGCCCCATAGAGCAAAAAAAATTGGTGCCCCTTTCAGAAGCCTTGTTATGCATAATAGGCCCGTGCTCTGCGCTCTTTTCCTAATACTGAATGAGTTTTAAGCACAGATCCTCTGCTTCGTGAGGGTCCCTGAGCGCTTAACCCGTCTCTGATTTTTTACATCCCTCTTCTTTCGGTAGCGGGGAGATCGGATCTGCGGTGGAGGTTGCTACCATAGGGAGCCGAGCTAGGGCACCGCGCGTTGAGGGCAAAAGCAGTAGTTACACGGTATCTGTGGGAGGGATACAGGAACGATTGGCGCCCTTCGTATGCGCGGAAGGAATGAGGAATATGCTCGGGGATAGTTTTCTGCCGGACAGTCGGTCGTTTCGACCTCTGTCTTCCGCTCCCCTCCCCCAAGCCCTGGTAGGTCTGCCTTGGCCGGCGGGGTTCTTTGTACCCGTTGCGCGGGGCGGCTGGATCACTGAACCGGGTTCGCTACCGCTACCGGAGGGTTATGGCTACCGCGGCCCCATTTCCAAGTGAGGCAAGTCCCTTTCAAACCGCCCGTCTTGCGGGTCCCTCGCACAGCCGGGCGGGAAGACCGGAGTGCGGTTTGGGAGCGTGATCCCCGCGCACCGGTGGCCCACCGAAAGCACCTCTTTCCAACAAGCTGACTGGCACAGGGGCCAACTGGCATTTGCCCCTAAGTGGATAGAAAATTAATTTTCAGTAAAAGCTCCTAGAGGTCAGGTTCTATACAGTGCCAGCGGCAGATGGAGGTTTAATGATCCAAGGGACTTCAGTTTGGACAAAGTAACATAATGACTTTTTTTCTGCATTGACTTTGGGGAGAAGTTAGCAGTTCTGGCAAAGTGATGCCGGGCTATTTGAAAAAGGCAAGCTCAGCCGAGACTGCCATCTTGAAAATTTTCGTAGTGCCGCTGCAGCTGCCCGAAGATCCTTTGCCTGTCGTCTGGTGGCCAGCAGTGTGCTGCTGCTGCTAACAGTTTTAACTCTCCACTCAGTGCCTGAGCACCTAAGGCTAGGAGAGATGCTAGATACAGAACCTGTCCTTACCATGTGGGGGCACAGCAGGGAGCCCTTGGCCTTCCTTTGGCAACCACTGGGCGGTATTGTGAGGTCTGGGGCCATTGAGGACGGGCTGCAGCCCCAGGAGGCGATACATGATCTCTGCTGGGCAGGGCCCAGGCAAAGCCAGTCCACTGTGTGAAACCGTGCCAAAGAGCCCTCTCCCCAATCCTGTAGGAGAAGCCCCAGGGAGACATCCCAGGAGGCGTTCCACATTAGTGACTTGGAGAGGAGTAGAACTTCCATGGGTGGGCAGGGAGGAAAGGGCATTTCACATTTGCTGTTGTTAACCATGATCCATTTTCCCAAATAAGTATACATTCTGTTCCTGTTTTTTTTTTTTTTTTTTTTTTTTTTTTTTTTTTTTTTTTTTTTTTTTTTTTTTTTTTTTTTTTTTTTTTTTTTTTTTTTTTTTTTTTTTTTTTTGTCTGTCTGTCTGTCTGTTCTTTGTCTGTCTGTTGTGTTGACTTTTCTCTTCAGGATCCCTGCTGCCTTGGTGATCCCGGGCTGACAGCCAGAGAGCACAGCGGCTCAGCTCCTGGAGAGTGAGGGTTGAAGAAAGCGGAGGGCAGCCGCCTGCGCCCGCTGGCTCCCATTAGGTCGGTTCCTGCAGCGGTGCCCGGCAGCCTTGGTGAAGGCCCTGCCCGGCAGAGATCATGTATTGCCTCCAGTGGCTGCTGCCCGTCCTCCTCATCCCCAAGCCCCTCAACCCCGCCCTGTGGTTCAGCCACTCCATGTTCATGGGCTTCTACCTGCTTAGCTTCCTCCTGGAACGGAAGCCTTGCACAATTTGTGCCTTGGTTTTCCTGGCAGCCCTGTTCCTCATCTGCTATAGCTGCTGGGGAAACTGTTTCCTGTACCACTGCTCCGATTCCCCGCTTCCAGAATCGGCGCATGATCCCGGTGTTGTGGGCACCTAACGGCCTGCCCTGTTAGCTTTCCAAGGAAGCAGAAGACGGGAGGGGAGGCATTGACATAGGTCATAAAGCATTGGAGTTTCAAATCCCGCCGCCTTGCGGGTGTCACATTCCTGACGGCGCCTTTTTGGCCTGTGATGTTTTATCCTTATAATGTGAATAATGGCACTGACCGGTGCTTTTATTGTAAAATCCTATAGCCGTGGGTGGTCTTGTGGTTGTGTGTATTCTGTCCCCATCTAGGTCCTGGCTGGCGGCATGGCCACCCCCCTCACCTCATTACTGTGAGGAGTCTGGGCCCATCCTGGTCAACTGCCCCAGCATGACCTGGGCAGATAAATGCCAGTCTCATTGTCACCTCTGTGAACCCTCCTTGTCAGGGTCTCCTTTCTTCCCATAATGTTATTGACTCCTCAGTCCCTCTCCTGGTTTCCCTTTACTTCTCTTTGACCCCTTTCTTTTTTTGGGGAGTACCTGTCCAAGACAGGGCTCATTTTTGCACTTATCTCGAATTTGAAGAGATTGCTGACGCCCGAGAGCCTCGCTTTTTCATCCTTCTTTCCTTGTTCAGCAGGCTAGACAGATACATGTCTTGACTGTTTGTTGTCCACAAATCTTCAGTATTTTCTCTGCTTCATTTTTAAGAAAGGAAGCAACAGATAGATGTTGCTCTTTCGCCTGGGTGTCTGGGCTCATGCTTTCCTGCCCAGCCTCACTTCCTTTGCCCTTCCTCCTGCCCTTCTCAGCTGTCCCAAGGAGGGGGGCCTCATTGTGTCTTCCCGTGCATGCTCTTCAGCATTGAAGTATGGTGTGTTCACGTAGTTCTAGCAGTCCCCAGCTGAGTGAATGGGCGAGTACCTGTGTGTTTCATAACAGCCATGATCCCCTTGATGTTTGGATATTTTTTGGTGTGCCCTGTGTGTGCGTGTGTGTGTGTACAAATACATGTGTATATTCCTTTTAAAGAAGCTTTATCAAACGTTTTCTGATTTTGAGGTTTAGCAATAGCTAGCTATATATAGTAGGTGCCGCTACAGTTTTATTTAGCATGGGGATTGCAGAGTGACCAGCACACTGGACTCCGAGGTGGTTCAGACAAGACAGAGAGGAGCAGTGGCCATCATCCTCCTGCCAGGAGCTTCTCCGTTCCTGCGCATATAGACTGTACATTATGAAGAGTACCCAGGAAGACTTTGTGACTGTCACTTGCTGCTTTTTCTGCGCTTCGGTAACAAGTGTTGGCAAACGAGACTCTCTCCTGGTCCCTACCTACTGGAGATCAGCATGTCTGTCCTTTCGGTCTGATCCATCCATCTCTCTCTTGCCTGAGGGGAAAGGGAGAAGGGCCAGGCAGAGAACAGAACTGGAGGCAGTCCATCTACGGAATGGGACTGTGAGGCCATACTTGTGAAACGTTTGGACTGCTATTCTAGAGCTTTTATTTGGTGTGTTCGTTGCACAGCTGTTTGAAATGTTTAATAAAGCTTTATAAACTTTACTTTGTGGTTTTATGTGGCTGCAGTCCATTTGGGTCGTGGTATTGGATTTCGGAGTTGGTGGGGGGCAGGGGGAAGCATGGAGGGGCTGAGTCCTTGGCGCCAGAGTACCTTAGCCCGAAAATTTGATCTGCTTTCTGGAGAGCAGATGGTGGGGTGGGGGAGGGGGAGCAGGGGACAGGCCAGGCGGTGAACAGGAGGGAGTCTGAAAGTTTTCAGAGATGAGACATTTGCGTTTCTCAGCTCCCATGGCTTCTCGCCTGAAATTGTTTCCCTCCATAGGAGATTTGAGTAACCGATCCCTTGACAAACAACTTAAGACAGCTGGAGCTCTAATCATCAAGGATTTTTATGGTGCTGCTTTTGAAGTAAAAATAAAGTGAAACCCCTTATGGCATTTCAAGTGGAAAAATAAATAAGACTGGCTGTCCAACCAGCTGGACGTAAGGTGAATGACCAGAAGTGCAAGAGTGGTATGGTTCCATGTCATAGATATGCACGTGCTCCATGGCCATGACCTTTGAGACAGTGTAGGCTAGTTTGTCAGGCCCTGTGCTGGGTGTTCACCTCTGAATCTCCTTCTAGAAAGCACAGTGGGAGTACTGCCTGTCCAAGGCACAGGGCTGTTGTGAGGCTTTATTGAGCCACAATTATGAAGGGCTTTGGTAATTTCATAGACAATCACCTGTTTTAACTAGGCTTTAAACTTACTGCTATAAAATTGAGTGTGATTTTCTCCTGTTCACATAAGTCTCTCCATTGTCACTTTATCTCTTTTTTCATTCTTGGTGTTGCTTATTGATGCTTTCCCTTGATCAAAACTTGCCAAAGATTTGTCTATTTTAGAGATATTTTCAAAGAACCAAACTTGTATTGATCATATCTGCTGGGTAATTTTCTTATCTGGTTCTTTTGTGCTTTTATCTCTGAATTCTTCTTTTCTGGGTTTCTGGATAGATTTCATGGTTCTGCAAAGTCTTAACAAGCTGAGGAGTCATACCTGGAAAGGATGGTTTGTTCAACAAATGTTGAGACCCTGTACTAGGCTTGCCGGGGATTGCAGGGGCAAGATTCAGGCCTGACTCTCCAGGAGCTCATGACTGTAGCCTAATGGGGAGACTTAACAAAATAGACAATTGTAAATTCCAAAAACAAAACAAACAAAAAAAGGCATTTGTGTCCCTACTCTCCTGTGGTGGCACCTGGATGATAAATGAAGCCAAGATTATTGCTTATTTTGCTCTTCCTCAGAAAGCAGCTTTCTGTTTTAGGTCAAGCCTGCTTAAGAGTCACAAACAGGCCTCCCTCTGAAAGATTTGTGGCCCTTTCCAGCAGGGAGCCTGCAGCCCACCCCTCCCCAAAGTGACTGCCAAATCAGCATTCTGTTGCCCCACAACGCTTCCTACCTTGCCAGGTACCCGTCCCCTCTTCCTGAACTGCCTTTTAGGAAAATGAAAAGTAGATATCTTTTCTGGAGAAAAGTAGGGGCAGCAGGCCTTAGAGAAAAACATGCTGTGCAATTCCATTGGTCATTGTGGCTCCTCGTATGAAATGATTGCCCACGTGGTGCCTAGTAACCACAAGATGCCACGAGGCCCAAGTCTAGGCTTCTTTAGGAACTGGTCCTTGCCCTGCTCCGGGCCCCAGTTTCCATATAGGTAAAATATGGTCTTTGGAGCACGATTTTTCTAGTCCTAATATCCTGGGAGTTCTTTCTCCCAAGATCTAGGGTCTCCCTGGACCCATTTGAGGATGGTAGCTGGGCTCTGAGTAGGTGGCAGTGCACTTTCAGGATAGCATGTGCCTCATGCTGTAGTCAGTGTACCATGTGAGCCTAGGTATTTCCTCTGTAAGGAAGCTTTCCTGGATTTCCTCTCCCAGGAGAACTACTTGCCTGGATCATTTCACTCAGCCTTCTGTGGAGTGCTACTGCTAGCGTTCGGCAGACTTTCCCTT